TTTGGCCAAGGAAGTAAAGCCAGCATGAAGCTGTGAACTTTTTCCAGAAGTTGGGTGAGGGCTAGGTTTAATGTGAACCTTGACTCCCTAAAGGCAGATGTTTACTTCGGCGTCACTGCACATATGTCGACATACAGTATGTTTGTCGTTCGGAGAAGGTTGCATATTTGTGGCAGTTATAATTGACTGACTAGGGGGCACATGCCACTTTATTGAGTGCTGATATTTTTTCAGGTGAGAAATTAACCATTTAGATTGAGAATATGTGGTCACTCTAGCCAATTAATGTCAATTTAGAAATATGCTCCAATGTTTTCAAAGATGTGAGTACCAGCTAGTGGACCAATTAGCAGCTAGCTACGTCTCGGTTAGAGCAGAGTCAGATGAATCAATTGGTCTGCAGGACACGCAGCTCCGCATAACGCGTAGTTGAAATTCTGGAGGTGTTCGCATCAGCCTGTCTGCGACCATCAGTGACCTACATTTGCCCATAAACCCCTTTGCTGTGTAGGTACATGTCGACACCTACACATAGTTGTGAACATGTATAAATTAAGCTTAATCCTCTCCTTTACCCCTAAGTGTAAACCTGCTAAGGTTAGGTTCTGGCTAACATCAGTTACTTCCTGTTGAGGTCAGCAATCTTGTCTGCAACCAGGTTGTCTTGCAAAGGGCCGAACCACTACCACTATGTGGCTTAAGATGCTATATATTCATCTTTTGTATGTCTGATTTTTATATTGGCACATTTCATAATACCTCTCCCGGTTCCTGAGACCAGAAAAACAGTATATATTTTATCTTAAAATGTAAATACTGATCATTTTAAAAGTTAAAAAATCGAGCAGTGCTTCCATGGCAGTTTCCCATTACCGAAATCAGCGTAATCCACCATCAACACTTTGTATTTTATTCTAGTTAGTATAATTGTTAGTGATTTAACAGTCAAGGGATGATGAATTAAAACTGGTCAATGACTGGAATGTTTTGTTTTATGCTGCAGTAATGTATAACATACATTTTTGAAAAACAATTTGATAGCAGTAGTTATACTAGGGTGACTGTGGTTCAGTGGGTAGAGCAGTTGTCTCCTAACCGGAGGGTCGGAGGTTTGAATCTCAGGTGCCTGCAGTCAAATTGCCTTATGGTAAGACCCCCAAGTTGTCCCCGATGGTTAGAGCTATCGGTGTGAGATGCTGCCTCAGTTCTGTACCGGAAACAAATTCCTTGTGTGTAACATACTTGGCCAAATAAAGGTGATTATTATACTGTAGTAGCAATAATAATGACTGCCTCCAAATGTCCACTCTTGAAAGATGTTTTATTAAGGATTTGCTTCCTTTTTGTCCAATTTAAAGACAGTATTGTGTTTATTGTTGATATATAGCTATGGTGGTGATATGTACTGAGGTTTGTGATTTTACTGTTATGTTGCCTGCACTGTTAAGAGTGACTCTCTGGCTTATTAAAGTACTGCTCTTAACTGTTTTACTACTGCCATACGTTTTACCTGACAGAACGTTATGGTGCCGTCAAGATGTGATTTACCTGTTGCACTGATGTGATATTATAGTACACTGCTAATAATATTAGATATTGTAATACAGGTGAAGAGGAAACCTTTGTTAGTTACACTCGCCTGTAAACATTCCTACGCCAACTCATCCAGTAGCTATAGAGACTTTTCATTTACAACCACAAATATAAACCTCTAGCCGGTGGCACTTGAGGAAAGGTCAGTGATCACCAAAACATTCATCTTCTGTGCACCATATGTACACACTTCCATAATTATCTAATAGTTGTCAAGACATTTTACTATAACCCATAAAAATGTGGATCGCCAGAGCCAGCATATATCAGGATGAAAGTGGGAGCCCAGCCAGCTAACTGAACAACACTGCCATTCCAAGAAAAACCTGACTTATATTTAAAAACTAGCATCTGCCTTTCATTTCCTTGAATTCTTCCCAGACCAGCCAGAGTTGTAGGAGTATACAGAAATAGATCAATACAAGTAAACTCATAATTACAATCTATAAGAAAAAAATGAGCCCATAACATAACCACCACAGTATCATGCCTTCAGGCACTTTACAGTAATAGTACAGAAACCGAAACTCACAAGCCAACAGCTAACATTAGTTAGACATCAGTTATCCATCCTGTGCAGCAGCCCAACCTGCTGCAGGGCAAAGCAAAATGATACAGTATTTTGTAATAATCTAAGGTGTTTCTTAACTGTAAGCCTATGCATAAGTAAAGGTGGTAATGACAGCAAGCTAATCAGCTATGTGCATCTTGTTCTCCTGTGGGATGCCAAGTAATTATGAATGAACACGAGCAGGCAAAGCAAGCTCACTAATGCGTCTTTAGTGCTGACAATGAGGAGAGGAGCAGAAGGATATAATTCTACTATGTAATGATCCTAGAGAGGGGGACGGGTGAGTCATGGATGCAAAGAAAATGCAGCAGGGAATAGAGAGCAAAATAAATGGCAGCAGAAAGTGCAAGAGAAAGAAAAACAGAGAAAAAAACATAAAAATCTTGTTCCACTGGGACGAATATCTACTTCAAACAGTATCCTTGGATGTGCACACTGAATATTTGACAGAATATAACATAAGGGTTCTTTATTCAGTGATTCATCTTTCTTCATCATGAATATGGTTAAGGGTACCATAATGCTCAGTAAGACCCTGATCATTTCAGATGTGGATTTTACACCTAGTGGTGTGTGGTCCTGCGAGGGAGTAGTAACCCCTGTGGTCTATCAAGACGCCCTTTGGAGGCACCTGCTGTACGGTGATCTGACACCCTTAACTATGTGGTTGGACACTCTGTTGAAGTCCGCTGACACCCCTGCCAGGGACTGAGACATTCCCTCACAGCTGTGTTCTGAAGATCAAAAGCACTGCATGATGGCTGTCTGGCTTATTTTTGGTGTAAAAATTTTTCTGGATTTTCAGTCACCGCTCTCTCTCACTGTCTATATTTCCCTGTGTGTGTGAGTTCTAAGTTATATGCCCAGTGACATCCTGTGAAAGATGAAGGTGCTTCACATATGTGACTAGGGAGGAAAGGCCAAGCACTGATGGATCTCCGACCAGTCGACCGTGTCCCTGCCATCCCCCAACTATCACTGCTTTTAACCACAAATGACAGTACATTCGGATGTGGTTGTCATGGCACCAGAGCAAGAAGTCTCTCACAAGTGACTTTGATGTATAAGTTAGGGCCTAGCATGCAAGGTGCATGTCAGTGTATAAGCATCATCAACACACTACTTTGTTCTTTAATGCTTGTTTACATTTCTCTGTTTATAATTTCATGATAAATCAACTAATACAGTGTAAACAGTGCAAAATAATCTGGAGAGAGAAGCAAATGTCAATTATCTTATGAGACTATAACATGGCTTAAGGAGTGTGGAGCCTGTGTAAGTGCTGACTGCTCCCTCACACCGAGTTGTTTCCCTATTTGCGAGGCAGCAGTGACGCTGGCAAACAAAACGCCTGTCATCATCTACTAGAACAAAAATCGGTCACATGAGATTTTCTCACCATGTACAACTGCATGCATCATACACAGACTCTCCGCCACATGTACAATCTACTATATGTGACCGTCTGTGTACACGTACAGTATACGGTGACACAATGAGAAAATACATTGTCTGCCACCATATGTGATGTTGAAATAAAAATACAGATTTTAGCTATCAATATTTCAGCAGTCTGCGAATTGCCTCCCAGACATGTGCTGCATTATTGAGAGCGAGCTGCTTGCAGTTTGAAATATGTCATCGGCGATTCTCATTGACAGGAGGAATTCTTTCATCAGACAAAGAGATGACAGATAGCGTAGACATGCCTTTAGTCTTTCTGACTGTCTTCAGGAAGAGGGCTCCATATCACAGCCTGGCTCAACAAATGCAATATCACATATTGATTCCTGAAAATGCATTTCACTCACAAACTTGCACTTCTCCCTGTTCCAACTAAATGATCATTGGTGCAACTATGCTTCACTTTCTAACATCAATACAGATTTATGAATAATTTGATTTGAATCGACTGGGTGGTAAACATTTGTGAGAAAATGGACATGTAAAACAGTAGTGTAGCAGTACAGACAGAATGGACAGTTTAGCTTTAATTATTTTGTTAAAGCCATTTTCTCAGAAAAGAGCCACTCATTTTGTAGCCAATTCTGCTCTGCGTTGTTTATAGGGCTGTTCACACCATGAGGCTTGACTGAATGCATTAGAGATCAGAGCAGTTTCTAAAATCTAGAACTGTGTATGATAGTTTCTGCTTACAGATTAATAACGCATGCTTACAATTTCATCATATGATTTCTTACGAAACTTTTTTTTTTTTGTCCAAATTTGCCATCTAGTGTACAAAAGCAGACACTGTAGTAACTATCCATGTATATTTTATCAGTTGCGGAAGCAGTATTCACCTCCTTTACTTCAGTTAAGGTAACAAGAACGCAATGTAAAATTATATACATATATATTACAAGAGAAAGTATATTCAAAGTCTCAAGTACAGTAACATTAACAGTGAAATACAGCTATCTTGTCTTAAAAGTAAAATTGATGCAGAAACATTTGCTACAGTGAATGTTAGTTACTATTGTAGATTAAGACAATTTTATACTGTTGGTTACCAGAATAATGCATCTATTTTCTGTCTATTTCTTAAATTGTTATTGCCTTGTTGAAGTTCTGCAACTGCTTTCACAGGCCTGCAAAACTTTTTTTTTTCCCCACATTGTGTAGTATGAACCTCAACCTGCAAAGAATACACATGGCACATTTTAATCTGCAAAAACCAAATTTCATGGTATTTTGCAGTGTACAGTGTTTGTTCAGTGCTACAGCAAGAAGTTTGTAAATGATCAGCAAAACCGTGGAAGAGCTAAAAACTGTTTCAGGATGTATGAAACGGCTTCAGATGGAAGTCAAAATAAAATACTTGCAAAACTGAAGATATACTAAACACAGTGCTTCTTGAGCCATTTTATTAATTTCTACCTAAAACTTACAGTACAAGTGAAAACAATATTCAGGAATGTTTACAGGTGTGACATTAGCGTAACCTCAGGTACAGTCTCAAAATGATGAGACTTATTTTGACTTACTGTAATTGTTCAAAGAGGAGACTGTGGAAGGACAGGATGAAGTTCAAACTGTTTTGTAGAGGCACAATGCAGCTTCAGTCATTAGATTTGACCATCAGCTCGTGACTTCACAGAAGCCCCTGCTCTGACTGAGACCCCTGTATTAAGTCTGCTCCGCTGGCTGCTGTGGTGCGCTGATTGGACGGGCAAGTAGAGTGATGCCGTGAGGACCTGCTCGAACAGGACACGTCAGCGGTCCAGCGAGCGTTTCTGAATTGCTTCTGCCACCACAGTGCGCAGGAGAGCGATGACAGAACGAGGGTCATCGCTGCTTACCACAGCGCTGCCTGACACTATCATGTTGGCTCCTGCCTGGAACATAACAACAGTACACAGTGCAAGAGAAAGTCGCAAAATCCAATTCAGAGTTTTTAGGTGCTTAATTGAATGACAAAGTAATGCTTGGACTCCCTACCTCTGCACACTTGTGAATGGTGTCAGGGCCGACGCCTCCGTCTACTTCAATGTCTAACGAAGGGAACTGGCTGCGCAGCCAGCTCACCTGGTCACACACACACACACACACACAAATAAAAAGCTCAACATTCTCTTGAGGTATTAACACAAAGAGACAGTGCTACATGTTAAATCAATTGCTTCCAAAGCGCATCTTTGTGAAAGTGAAATTTTTACCTGGACTAACATTTACAGTGTTAGTTTGCAATTTTATACTTTAGCAGAAGTGTTAAATTACTGACTTTCAATTTACACACCTCCTTTATGAAACAGGTGCATAGTAATCACCTTGTTGAGCTGTATAACTGTCATTTATACAATTTGTCTGATCTATGCCACAATAACTTTGAGTGCAGGGAGCTCTATTTATACATTCTATCTAGACTATAACATGACAACAAGATATGACTTTTCTGTTCTTTGCTAGTAGCAGAGAACAGCAGAATGACCATATCAGATATTAGCAATAATTTTAGGTCTTTTTTTTCCCCCACATTAATGAAAGCAATATTCTTCTTGAGGTAATAGCCTCTGAGACTGTCAGGCATATTGTGTGTTAAGCACAACAGCATCTAAATTGGTTTACTAATTAATTGAAGTATTTTCCCATCAACTGATTCTCTACTGTCTGAGATTCCACAGGCCTGACAGCTCTGAGGGGGATTAGTATGGTGGCCCTGAGGGCTCAACGCACTGCAGCTTCAGAAGACACATGCAAATAAACAAAACACTAGCAAATTAAGAAAGCACTTTCACCAATTTGACAACAGAGGCGCAGCATTTACAAAACAGAATATACTACCAAATGCAGAAAACACAACCAACTACACAAACGCACTGCAAATACAGAAATACACAAATAAAGTGCAGCAAATATCAGTTTATTGATACTACAGAAAATACTGAAACTTTTTCAAATATTCAGAATTGATACGTATAAAAAAAACATAAAGTTTTTGACAACACTAACAGAGTCAGCCAGAAGTTTATCTTCATTTTGTCATAACTTGTTTTTCTTCATAACTATGCCATGATTATAGGTCACCAGTTACCACCACACACTGAACTTTTGGTATGTGTCGTTTTCTTTACAAATTTTTGAGCATGATTATTTTCTTGTTTATATATTTATATTTTACTTTTTTTTAGTTCCTCAATTTGTTTTAGACTTATTTTATTCTACTATCTTATCTGACTGGTGTAAAGCACTTTGGTCGACTTCTAGTTGTTTTAAAGCCCTGTACAAATAAAGGTTCATTGATTGCTAAAGATCATAGATAAGCCACCTTAGCTGTTCCCATACTGGTGACTCTAATGATGCAGAGTTCTCGTTCTCTCTCTCTCTCTCTCTCTCTGCTCGGTTTCTGCTATTTTACCTCAGCACAGTGTCAAATCAGCACTGCACTCTGGCTCACTATGTATTTCACTGTGTCTCAAAATAACAGGGCCATGTAGGAGTTTAGGTCAGCAATGAACACCATCTATTCCTTATTATTTTCAATGCTTGCTAATAGTGTATTTAAGAGGAGCTGATCTACTCTATGGTAAAACCCAGTTTGTGTGGATGTGGTCGTGTGTAAGGTTCCTGTTATTTACCTTGGGCATCATGTCCTCAAGGAACTTCTGTCCTCCAAAGCCAGGTTCAACAGTCATGACCAGAGCCATGTCGATGTGGTTAGCCCAGGGTGCCAGTTCTTCAACAGTAGTACCAGGCTTAATGGCCAAACCCACCTATGACATTTACACAGTGTGTATAAGAGTCAGAAAACAGAGCTGCCTCAGCACCCATATGTTTGTATCTGATGCCAAAATGTATATTTTATTATCAACATCACCTGGTACAAATACCATGAAACAGTCAGTAAACAGCTGTGCATTGCACTTTAATGGAGATGGCTAAACAAAACTGAATCACACAACATTAGACTATGCAAAACTGTCCACAGCATTGCGACTTTTCTTTTGTAAGAGTAGACCACGATGTTTGAAAACACTTCTCATAAAGTAGAAATCTCACCTTTATGTGGCTTGTCCTAGTGGGTTTTCTTGTCCTTTTCTCCTCATTCTGCAATTTGCTAAACAGATCCAATCTTAATGTATGCCCGTGTATCAGACAGTTTCAGCACTGAAGTGAGTACTGCCCCCCAATCACAGGGAGAAGTATGAGTAAATTGCCTCTTGGCACACCAGAATGAGGAGATGAAGACAACAAACTACCAGGCTGGGCTACGTTCTATTGTAATGCACAATGGATGACAAATATATATATATATATATATATAATGAACTAAAAACAAAGGCTTGACTAGAAGAGACTCAATCGACTGACAGGTCTCTCAACTAATGACTCAACTATTCGACTGTTTTGGGGCAGCCCTACCCAATGTGTTTTTTATAAAAGTCATCTAAAGATTCATTGTGCATTTATTATCTTAATCAGTGACATTCTACTCTACCATTTCCTCACCTTCATGCCACTCTCTTTTATCTCCTTGATGAGGTTTCCAGGGTTGGTGGTGGCCTCCAAGTGGAATGTGTACTGGTTGGCCCCTGCTGCAGCCATCGGCTTCACCCACTGTTCTGGCCGAGAAACCATCATGTGCATGTCTGCAACAAAAACAATGTCACAATACTGCACACCTGAGGCATTCATGATCCCATTCAATGGAATAATTGAGCTAAGGTATTAAAGTCTAGCAAATGTAGACATGGGTTTTGCACTCACCAAAAAAAGGGTCTTGGCCTATGGATTTCCTTAGGCACTCTACCATGGGGTGACCAAATGTGATGTTGGGGACAAAATGCCTTTAAAGGAAAACAAACCCAGACATTTCACTTGCACCTGTTATGAAATTCTCTCATATTGCCTAAGTTAAACAAGTGCAAAGTAACGCCTTGGCATAATTGTGGAGGAAGCAAAAACACGGCAAACACTTAGAATAACGTTACTGTACAATGTCATCCTCTGGTTTTGAGAGCTTCTTCACTGAAACACTAAAGCCAGGAAATACCCAGTTAGCTACCTACAGTTTAAATGGGCTGCCCTAGTTTAACTTGCGGCAAGCTAACTCAGCTAGCATGCTAGCCAACTTTAGCTCTTCCACACTGAACTTCCAGTCGACTTGCTAGTCGTTAGCATTCCAGCTATTCTAACTAGCTATTGATAAACTGACCCGTCCATAACGTCGAGGTGCAGATAATCTGCCCCGCACTCCATCATCCGCACACACTCGCTGCCCAGACAGGACAGGTCGCTGCTTAGAATGGACGGACCGATCTTTGCACTGTAAGCCATGCCGCTACTGCATATAGCCAGGTAGCTAACACAGGTCAAGTTAACCGCAACATAAAGCACAACTTCCGTAGACAACCTTCAAAATAAGAAACATAAATCGCTACAAAACATCATTTAAAATCTAATAACCACAACGTGGGCGGTAAAAAAATATTTACAAGAAATTGGCAGGCTTGCCCTAAATATGGTTGTACTGATTAAAAATAAAACAAGACTAAGAAGAATACACTCAATGAGATAGATAAACACACCATATGTCTTTTTAGGCAATTTCTATATTTGTGATCATGATTGTATGCGGTTACCCTATATTTTGTACACCCCAGAATCAGAATCAGAATCAGCTTTATTGGCCAGGTGTGATGGACACACGAGGAATTTGACTCTGGTACATCGGCTCTCAATGTTCAAACAGTAAACTAGCATGAGGCTGTGTAATATAACAAAATAAGCAGTATTAACCGCAGCATTGACAGCAAGAAACAGTGCAAAGAATGCAATATAAGCAGTATAAACAGACAGTAAACAATGCAGACAACAAAAGAATGTTCGTTGGAATGAAATAAATAGGGATAAAAATAGAGTACTTAAAACTAGAGACCTAGAGACCCCTTGTTATTATTATTATCATCATCATTATTATTATTATTATACTTCCTCCTTCCAAATCAGACAATACCTATTTCTGGACACTAGATGGCGCTTAGTTCACACAGTTTTGATGTGGGTGGCACTTTGCTGGCATGCTTTGGGTCCCTTTGCTTCCTCAGAGGGAAGGGTCACTCTAAATTGATACAAAGCTGGTCTGAGTGATCACATTTAATTTATGATGAAACATTTCTATCTTGATGAGAGTATTCATTTCCAGGTTGACAGTGCTCCCATCCATAGAGCATGCTGAAAGGTTTGATGAGTATGAAAATGAATGTGAATCAAAAGACCTTCACAGTCACCAGATCTCAACCTATCTGAACACCTATGGGAGCTTGTGCACTGACATGCTTAACAGTGTCTCCACTACCATCGTCAAGACACCAAATGAGGGAATATCTGCTGGAAGAATAGTGTTTTTCCCTCCAGTAGAGTCCAAAGACTTGTAGAATTAATGTCAAGGTGCACCGAGGTTGTTTTTCATTTCATTTGTCATCGGTCTGTAAAAAACAGTAGACCCAGACGCATGCATTTCAGTATTGTGAGCACCTTATTAATGCTTAAGCATGGCACACAGCTCAGCAGTACAAGTCTCTGTTAGTATGTGCCCTCACCCATGTGGGTTAAGCTTTTATAACATGGTAAACAAATGCCATAGCTCTGAGAAATGATATCAGTTAACTTCAGCTTCTGCTTTAACACCCTACTATGTCCTGACCTATGCAGTTCTGTACTTTATCTTTCTTGTGCTTATATCTCCTGTAATGTTTCCTGTTCATCAGGCTGTCAGCACTTGACAATCTCTAACCACAAGGATGGGGAGAGAAATGTGTCTGCAGTGTTTGATTAAGCACCACAAGTTACATCTCATCATAATTATTTTCCATCACACCTCTCAGCCCTAAATAGCTGATTTAATTTGAATGTCTGGGTATTGATTAAGTAGAAGATTACAGAAACAAAGACTCTGAGTGTTGCAAAAACTAGGTCTATTGTTAATACTGGGCTGCTTGTGGCATACAGACTGTGAATATAAGCTAAAGTCATTTTTTTAAATCTTATAAATATTTATAGCAATAACACACTTTTGTAATCAATCATTGTGGGACATAGATTACTAAAGGGGGCAAAAGGCATAAAATTGCCAAACCTTTTGAATCCTGTCCCAATTCAAATGATCCAGAATATGCTCTGCTTCTATTTTCTTTCAGTTTGGCTATTGATTTCATGTTTTAATGCCTCTTTCTCTTCATTTGTCTCTGTCATTCCACAGTGTCATCACTTAAAATAAAAAGGTGCCTGCCTGACTAGATAGATAGTTTACTGGCTTCATAAAGGAAACACAGAAGGTGCTATAACGGTATAAACCTTTAAAGATATTAAATTGTCTGGGTTTCAGAAAAACAGACCTTACTGATGGAGAACATATTAGCCTGCAGTGTTATTGTCTGCTGAAGATATTAGTGATGAATCTATATTTCTAGAGAACCCCCCTCACAAAATATTAAAAATGGCCAGTAGGAGTCTTACCACTGAAAAGTGACACAAATGTAAAAATGAACAAATGATTGAACAGACAATTGGTTTCCAATAAAAAAAAAATCTGAAAATGTGCCTTTGCAACACATTTTAGTCCTGACCAACTCAATAACAACTTGCTGCATTATTGTCTTTGTTACCCCACTACACCCCATTTGATAATATCATGATTTCATATCATTTTGATCATATGATGTCACATTTTTTGGCTAGCTGATGCAGGTTTGTGTGGACGGCTCCCAGTTAATATGTAATATGCAAGTGTCTCATGATGCCGGGATAATTTACCTCCTACTGCAGTGTCATTGCAGTTCTTCAGAGATAAAGTTTGCAATATCTTTACTAGACATTCAAAGCTGTTCTTCTTTGTCACCATAATCATTTTTGGACACAGTCCAGTGAAATAAGCTGTGATTTATAAGTAGCAGAAGGCTGAAATTTAAAAAGTCTTTCTTCAGGACTCTGCTGAGGCTCAGCCCACAAAGAGCCTTACTCATATATCCAGATTGGCTAAACAGAGCCTGACATTTATGAGTTTTGCCCACGTCTTGTATTACTGCAGCAATGATGAAACGCTGGCAGTATGGCATGCTGTAGCAGACAGGCAGATAAGATATATGCAGTTTTTAAGTAGGGCTGAGGCAGAGTAAGTTAGCATCACAGAGAACTGGGGCCTCAGGAGTCTCTGGGAAAGGCAGTTAAGGCTTAGACTTCAGGCTTAGACTGTCATTTTGTTGACCAGTGTAGCTGCAAGGGACTCAGCTTTATAAGTGTGGCAATATAAAAATCTCTCACGGTACCTCTGTAGAAAGTGAAAGAGGGGACATTCATTGTAGCTCATTAAGTTGCCTTTTTACAAAGAAAGTTGGAAAAATAGAATTGTGGGAGTGGTTAGATTCCACTGAATTCCATTGGAGTCACACTCCACTGGCTGATACATTGCTCAATGATGAATTGGTGTTTTTGTTTTTTTTTGTTTTTTACATCTGGCACCAAGCTACATTTTTTACCTTTACTGTAAACAGCTTTGACACCACCCACATAATTCCAGTTAACCCTAGCTTCTGTTTACTGGACCTCTTAAAGACACTTTATTTTTGGTTTAGCAGAGGAGGAACTGCTCAGGAATGTTACTTGCAGTTATTTTCAGGATACTGTCAAGCTGCTTTCTATTGCTCATTGTTTACATGATCTCAGTTTAAATAAACTCTATAATACCCTGTACTCTACCAGCACTTCATCTAAGGAGTATATTCATATAATGTTCCTGTTGATGTTAATATGTACAGAAAGAGAATAAGAAACTTTTAGAAAGCACTAGGACAAATAATATAAAATGTAACCAAAACCTTAAGTACATGTGACTGTGGATAGCATTTTAAGTCCTGCTAATTCTGTAAAGCACCGGATATTATTTACTTTACTTTGAAGTTAGGGTGGCGCCCTGATCAAGATCCAAAAATGTGTGTGTGTGTGTGTGTGTGTGTGTGTGTGTGTACTGCACATTTTCAACTTCTTCATGGCTTGTGAAGCATATGCTGTGTGATTCAAATTAGCTTGTGGATGAAATATTGCTGGTTACATACTGTACATTCCTCCATCTCTTTGAATAGACAATTAAAAATGTCTTTCAACCACACTTTGGGACGACTGTGAACTGATGCTGAAAAAAAAATTCTATTCTAAGTGTTGTCATATGTATCAGCTGTTGCCTTTTCTTTAACAGTTTCAAATAATTGCTGCAAATATCATGTTTATTTGAATTTAATTGATAGTAGTCTTTTAAATTAATATTTGTTGTTTGTTTTTGTTTTTTGCTTTTTACAACCTGGAGTGTTCCCACAAGTTTCAGGATATTTTCATTAAGTTGGCATTTGACTTCATCAGCCATTTCACCCGTGTCTCTGGAGGTTTTGATTTATGGTTGCTAATTATCAGCCACACAGCAGTGTGTATTAGGCATGTTTGAACTTGTTTAACAGTCTTTTGAAGTGCATCATTTACTAGCAATGAATTAATTATCTGGAAAATCAACAGCTGGCTCCTACAGAGACCTACTACACAGTAAACCTATAGTAAAAAAAATAAAATAAAAATCTATATTTCAATTGCTAGGGGGAAATCTGCCGGGGAAATGACATGTTGATTCCATACTAGAAGGAATTCGTCTGTGTGTGCTTTAAGTGCTCTTTAAGTTGTGTTCATTTACATTCAGCAATTTGGGCGCTGTGAACCTGAACTGCTTGGGTCCATGTGACTCTTAACCTCTATAATAAAAGGCAGGAAAAAGACTGGAGGCAATGCTGCTGTAATTGTTGATTATTAAGATCTTGATACAGCTCCAAACTCTTCATGTATTATGATGATTGAAACCATACCTCCCACTAGCGTGTGACTCTAGCATCCTGAACAAACAAACAGCAATAAACTAGCTTTTTGTGATGTCAGAAAGAGAGTACAGGGCGTCTGTCGGAAGAAGTGTGAGGAACAAGTGCAGGAAGTATGTTTTGTTTGTGCCTTTGGTATGGATGGTCTACAAGGAAACTTTCATTGGGTGAGTTTTTGATGGTAGGATATCCGTGAAGAATGAGAAAGCACAACAGGATTTTCCCTTTCTCCGGTAAACTTTATCGGTTGATGAAGGAATGATGAAATCAGGGAGGTATGTAAAGGAGGAGCAATAAGATGAACTGCATCAGTAATTGTCTTAAACTTAAAGTAAAAATTTATTTTTCAAAGCCCATTCTGAAAGTTTCCAGCTTTACCCTTTATACCTGTCAGTGTTCAGTGTCGGTTTTTAATGCATCTTCTCAATTATATGTCACACAATTATGGAAATCTGTGAAGTGGTGCTTTATTATTAACATACTGTAACATTTATTTACATATCCAAATCTG